TTATCGATGTAGCAACTTTTAACAATTCATTTATTTTATCAAAGTAAATATAATTTTTCAGCAAATGAGTTGATTAAGATAAATTACAATGTCAATACTGTAGATCTGTTCTGTTCTGTATATAACTTGATGTAATTTCTATAAAGTTAAAGTGAGTCATGAATAATAATGTTCTGCCTGAATTAACCTACAGTATATCAAGAACTATTATTTCTATAATTATTAATAATTATTCTAATAAATGTAACTTTCATTATAATATACAGAATAGGCAATATTTCTAAACTTATCATTGCTTTAAATTTCATAGAAATTTCCGTTATTACATTAGCAGCAAGACAGATGAGCAAAATTGTAAAAACTTTTCATGTCTAATATTGTATTAGTTATATTAAAGTAAGAAATTTGGCTGATCGGGAGAGAAAAAAAAAGAGCTCCAGGAAGCGCGTTTCTAAATTGGCAACCTAAATCATAATTATATAGTCTCACCTTAATAAGCACACCGATTCAAGAATTTGATGATTTTCACTAAAAACTTAATACCAAAATAATTTCCATATTCATTCTGTATACCAGAACAGACATATGACGGTTCAATCTTAATTTCTCTCGTAAGTTTCCGCCAATGTTCGGTAAACTCCGCGTGTACATGATTGACAAGGGAGATTCAGTCACCAGATGGTATAATATGAATATTCATCTAGTCTCTACATATAGCAATACTGTATCAATCTTACGACCGACACGTATATATTTAAATATTTAAAAATATTCGACTTTTAAAATTAACTAATCAAAATAATTATATTTTCAATGATTAAATTAACAGAATAAGTAATGAGTTGAAAAACGCAGTCAGACACGGATGAACGAATTAAAAGAAGATCCCTGTTTTGCATATAAAAGGGCCTTGGTTTTTACATATCATTTTAAAGAAGGAATTGCTTTATGGATGTAAATTATGAAAGCATGCAATGGACCAATATATTTTAGGGCTTGACGAACAACACTATATATACATGTACAGTGTGCAATGAGGGATATTTTTGCCAGAAGCGCGGTATTAGTCCTCTCCTTTTTCGAGTTCAGTATGTTAAGGGAGCTTTTCAATACCATACCTACGCCTAACCAAATAAAAGCATCCACTATTCTTCAAGAATATTTTCATAATTATTTAAATTGTTAGTGAAATAGTGGCCAATAAGCCAAGATATATATACATGTATTAATGTGCGGTATATCGCACATTACTTTACTTTATATAACTTTACACACATTATTAGATCCAAGTGAGGAACTTTTGATCCATATTGTTAAAAAATTGAGAAATTTTGTGAGTTGTATTAGATTTTGGAATGTTTAATCTAAATTTAACCACGCTACTTTGTAGTATATATAACAGGCTAAACTTTGCTGAATTGGGACGATATGTCTTGTGTCCAATATTAATAACTTGACGCCTTATCCATGAATAGTGAAGATGACTCAAGTCACTTCCTTCATCAATGACAATATATATGAAGATACAATCTTATTGCTTTTATAAGGTTTTAGAAGGCGTGCTAAAGATCTTTGCGACAATCATACTTTAAGCTGTGTTTCGGTAGGAGCAGCCACACCATGTCAATATCGAGGCACTGCATGGCTGCTGTAATACTTTTGAGAAGAATATAATATATACTCATAACTATAGCAAAATTGGCTGTAAGGCTTGGTTCCGCAATTAGACAATGTGTAAATAGCATGCTAGACCTATTTTACAATACACTTGATAGAAACGTACCTGACAGATTTTGGTCTCCGCATGTTCCCCAATATTTTCACTCTAAAGACAGTTATTGGCTCGTCCATTGATGAGACATTCTAATATGATATATATGATATTATCAGTCTTTTATTTGGGTTCTTTTAGTGCCGTCATCTGTTTTAGAAAAGTCGTTTAGTATGATCGGTGAAGCCTGCGATCTAGAAATATTATTCTTGTAACAGCTCGCTTCAACCTTATTTGTACGTCAAATAGGCATGAATTCAGAATTTTCAATAGGACTATTATGTGGGGTATTATAATTAAACATAGATTGAAACTGTCGATAATATGATATTTAAATAAAGTGTTTTAGCCGAGCATCTAGATAATCTATTACAACTTACAAAATATAGACAATTACATACAACAATAACTATTATTCACTCTTGATATAGTGCCTAATATTTGTAATGTGATAGGGCAATATCAATGACATTTCAACCAAAGGACTCCGTTTCTCCCCCCCCCCCCTAA